AAAAAAAATCTTCCAGTTCGTTTTTTGAAAAATTTTGCCTTTAGAGCTCTTCCCGGTGTTTTCGGATTTGTGGAAAACAAAGGAACTGGAAATTGAGCTCGGTAGTCCCGTACGTCATAGGAATACAGGAAATCTTGAGACTGTGACTCATTAACATCCGCGGTCATGATTAGTATGTTTATGAACTCTTCCATCCGCTGAATTTGATCATTCGGGCTGAGGGTCAGATGAAGTGTCATGCGTATTTTACTTTCACTGGCTGATGCCAATAGCTAAAAGGAGCTCACAGAAGTTACTTGTGCTAGACTGTCATAGGAGACACGGACTAGATTCCACAATTCACCTTTCTTAACTTGTCGAGCTGTGAAATTGGAAATAAACTAGACATACATACATGCAATCACGCAGCGTCATTTTAGCATGCGTTTATGGATGTAACAAATGAGCGTGAGAAGTGATAAAGACAAACGATGGTCGCAAATCGAATAACAAAGTAGCTTACTCAGACTCTACGTATGCATAAAAACATTTGTAACAGCACTTTTGCTCGAAAAGCATGCATTCCCAAAGCCATGGTACACAAAAATAACCAAGTACAACATGTATTTTACACGGAGCACACTGTCCAGAAATAAGTTTGAGAAGCCCATGTTAGTGATGTTACTGCGATTCCATGTTACTAATACTACTATCTGTAAATCGAGCGAAGCTATATCAAGCCTATTTTACATATGCCGGCGACCAGCATTTTCTGTGCGTTGGTCGTAACTGCTTGTGATTTACTATGTATTGCTTGTCTAGTGTGGGGATATATTCTTCGGTAATTTTGGAGTATAAGAAACATAGAGGTGCGCCAATATCTCAGTGTACTGAGGGAAAAAACACAATACTCTAAATGTCGGTGGATCGCACGAGGATTGAGAGATGTGAAAGTTTCAGTATCATACAATAAATAATAAATATTTAGGAAGCAATACTGGAGAAGGTTTTCAGGTAATTGAAAGGCCGAAGTTATGTTGAAGCTAAAGGATACTAGTCCAAAAGGCAAATTCCAAAACTCCAAAGTAAAACAATATCTTCCGTTACAATTGGGATTTTCGAAGTTCGAGGAGGAAGAACTGCAATTTCATCAAATGCAAAAGTGCGATTAGAGGAAAAAATACCTCATTTGAACAAAGAACAAGATACCACACCGTTGCATGTTTGTGTCCGATATACTTTGCATCATCGAGGACTGGAGACATCCAATTCAATGAGCCGATCGCTGTTGCAGCCCAGTTTCGGACAGAACCGTGTGTCCATCAGATTGATCCTTCTGGGATGTGCCTCGCACGGTAGCCTAACACGGCCTTGGAACGTCATGCCACAGACGGAACATTTTATCACCGCTTGAGGTCTATCGCAAATACATGCCGACGTCGACTTTTTTTCACTGCTGCTCGAAGCTAAAATTGATTTGGCATCAAAACAGTGACTGTTATTAAACCCTCGCTTTTGAAACAGTCATTTCAAATGCCCTGAGAGCTATACTCAAATTTCTCCTATCATTGCAAGGCGGGAAGTGAGGAGCGAATCTGCTAGGCAGGATGAGAAGAGAATCAAACAAATTCAGCTGCGCTACCCTCAAAGTAGCAGGGTAACAAGGCGCAGAGCCAGTGTAGGTCAGCTCTTGAAGCTAGATGGCCCCGTTAATTTGAACTAACTTCCAGCTTTCACTTTGAATACTTTACTGTTTCAACAACAGTTTTTTCATCATCGCATTTCTTCTTGCCACTGATGCAGCTAGCAACTTCATTTTTATGCGTTTTTTGTAGCTATGCAATGCAGAAAACGCATATTGACGAGAGGTTGTCTGTGTGT